TGAGCTAACCACTGGTTATAGGTACCACGATCTTGACGCTAACCCGGACGGAATCAATGATAACGTATCGGTTTGTATTTTCTTTGGATCGGGATGGGACTGTTCAACTCTAGGCGCCATCAAGAAGGATGTAGTACTCTTTCAACTCTCTCGAATGCCACGCCAGAGTGGTGATAGTAGTGGTGATAGCAGCGGTGATAGCAGTAATGATAGCAGTAGTGATAGCAGTGGTGATAACAGTAATGATAGCAGTAGTGATAGCAGTGGTGATAACAGTAATGATAGCAGTAATGATAGCAGTAGTGATAGCAGTGGTGATAACAGTAATGATAGCAGTAATGATAGCAGTAGTGATAGCAGTGGTGATAGCAGTGGTGGTAGCAGTGGTGATAGTAATGGTGATAATTGTTGTGGTGATGGTCATAACGCCCGCCGAGTTCGGTTCTCAGAGACAAGTTGTATTCAGGTTTTCCATCCAGTCGCCGAAAAGTTAGCATCCTACGACGTCAGTCTATACTACTCCACCCATTTTGATGGTGAGATAAGCGAACAGATAGCCGGGGCCTGTGGGGATATGGAAGAGCCCGGGGATAAGAAAGCTACTATTCTCGTCATTGACATTCCAGATCGGGGTGGATACTATTTGTGCACCGAAAACGTCGTAAGGGCCCTTATGTGAGAGGCTCAGTGTCAAAATTCTCCGTATTGGCTTTAGGAGACGCTTACCTTGGCCGTGTTAGAGGAAGCCTTTGAGAAATACCATAAGAAGGATGTCCCACGACTGCAGATGAGCTAAGAATTGCTCATAGTATCACTGGAGAGGCGGAAGCGTTTATAATGCATATCTGATCGGGTTCGGAGGAGGTTCTTGTTTATGCAGTCGAGCGAACTTGTTTTTGGTTGAGGATGCTTCTCTTGCGTTCGGTATCGTCGCTCGAAAGCTAAGGGGAAAATGGTGAAGTCGTGGAGTAGCATAGAAATGCATCGCCACAGTTCATTGCACTCGTCTATTATGTTCCGATGACGCGACCCAGGAGTAATGAGGGGTGGCCAACGGGGAAAACCAGGAGGCGCATTTCTACCTCCCTGCTGTACCATGACGATGTATATTCCCGGGGTAGCGGGCATCTAAGTTTCGGGTGTAAACTCAATCCATTGATCACTCGTGTGCTCAGTAATGTTACTTCAGGATATTGATTAACGAGTCTCCAAATGTGACCGTGGGGAATAGTCTCGTCCATGTGACTGATTCCCATTGATGATTCGCATATGTCGATCGGATCGAATTAAATATTCCCGTACAAATTTTCCATACCACACCTTGACATCCTCGTAAGGACGGATCAATAACGCAATGCACTAGTCTTTCTCTGGACAGCTTTGATAAAGTACACACGATTCAATGGATTGTGTTCAAGGCAAAAAGCTATTCAATAGTATAATGAGGTTATTCGATAATCACTCACGTTAGGGGATCGGTCAATTGGAAGTATAAACATTAATCTGTCGAGTGATTTTGCCATGCACGAAGTGAACATTTCATTCGACTGCTGGAACTCTTGCGGTTGCGAAGAATTGCCATCCCTAGAATGAGAGTGTCTATGTCCGAGTCCATAGTATTGATAAGAGTCGCATCCTTCTGGTCTACATCGGGGGAAGGGGATCTCTAGATGGGCAGACGCTTGAGCGACAATATCAGCCAGCTCAGTAGACTCGGCCAAAGGAGCTCTTTCATCTTCTTGCCATTCGTTGGGCTTAGGGATGGCAATTGCTATGAATACGCGAACAACGACGAAGAACTTCTCCAGGATTATACCCGCACCTAGACGGTGGACCATGGAAGCATCCAGCGCCGCAAGAGTATCACAATGGACGATGAGGATGAATACGTTGATTGATGCACCAAACAGGACCATACCGTTGAACACGTTGGCCCAGAAGGAACCCATGGCCTCTTTTCGTGGATATGGTCTTCTACTCGAATTCAGCTTGATAGCATCAAGACTGAACTCCACCAGATTGTTCATATATGCGAGAATGAACGCAATCGGGAATAGAGGACCGAATGCAACCAGTTGAGCTAGTTGGATGGCCATCTCTAAGTATTCACGCCAAAGTCCCCACTCTGGGAGCTCGTGCTGGGCGGCTGCTGTGAGTGGCGCCAAGTGCTTCCTTTTCGTCATCAGCCGCGCCAGCAAAGTAGGGACCGCTTCAGTGAGTGCTGACACCACCTGCCTAGTGGTGAACATAACTGTGACCTCTCGGCTCAAGCGGTTGAAGTCAGAAATGACAAAGGCCATCCAGATGGGAGGCACGAACACGTTGAAGACCTCAAAGATGATAACCTTCGAAGCCTCCGACGTCATGAAGTTCCTATCGTCGACGTGCCGCTCAATCCGAGTGAGCCAGCTGGCCAACTTGGCGAAAGCCGATGATACAAGTAGACGTAAGAGTGAGAAGAGGACAGACACTATCATAGGATCTACCAGGTAAGTTCGCTCGATATGCAACGTCCACATTAGCAGCCCGCATGATCCGAGTAAGGACAGGCCTAGCAGTACCTGCAAGTCACAGGGAAATGCAAGCTCGGGCTAATCCAGTTCACAGTGATAGAACCTAGAATTTCAGCGAGCAACTATCTGGCGACCGTTTATGAGAACGACGAGTCGGTTCAGGCGCTGTTAATTTAGCAGATGAAACCTCTAGCCTCCGAGTTGTGGCACGGCGCGTGTCGACTCACGAGAGCCATCTGGGCACTGCGGAGGATGACACGCAAGGTACACTAAGGACACTCAGGACAGTAAGCTTCTGTCGTAAGCCACTGAAGCTTACTCCCTGGAGTGCCCCTAGGACCTACATCGGAGACCTCGGTTAAAAAAATATATATATATCTCACGCTTAACACATACACTATTCCAGGTTGTCAAGACAGTCTGGCTTGTGTGACTAGCTTGGCAGCTTGAAGGACTCCGGTTTGTCCCCTTGTGCCGACAGCGATTGTGTCAATCACTGTCTTAAACCAGGCTTCACCGAAAGACAACTCTCTGGCACGGTTTCAACCGCGGAGAAGCTGCGCTTTTCCTAAGCAGTAAATGCCAACGGAACGGATCCCCTTTCTCAGGAAGCCACTTTATAGGTGGCAGTAGGGCCCATGAAACCGAGCCTCTCCGAATACCAAGGAGAAAAAGAAGAACCATCAGTACTTACCGCGCTGATCAGTCGTCTCATGACCAAGCCCAGGTGACTCGATGAGACAGAAGCTTCAACGTAAAGGCTCTGAGTTGGAATGTCTCCGAGTATTTCATCGATAGCGTGCGATCGGAAGTGCTTAAGAGAGGATCGCGGCTTGTCCCATTGCCGCTTTAATGAGGCTCTAAAGTAAATACCAAAATCGACGGGATAAAGCCGATCAAATCAGATTTACTTTTTCGTCACCCATCCCACATCCATCAGCAGTAGTCCCCACAGGGTTGTCACCCCACTCATGATGATCCATTGAGTGTCCTTACTGAGAGTGTTGGGGAGCGATACGGTGATGCCAAGAAGGGCGGGGAAAGCTAACCATCTGGTGTAGACCGAGAGGAAGCCAAAGTAGTAGCCTACAGAATCGCCATAATACCTGCAATGATACGATACGGCGAATATTCGTATGATTTTCTAATACGATAAATGTACTGATAAAACAGGTATACACTGAGAATTCGGTCAGCACTTCACGTACAGTAAACACCATAGTGGTTCACCTACATGTTCAAGTTCCTATAGTCTTTGAATAAACCAGCACTGCGGCGTTCATTATGCAGTGGGAAGACGTCTCGAACGATACCATAGCGTTGAAGCACTCGAACAACCGACACTTCATGCAGCATCGACTCCGTCCTCTCCCGGCCAAACTTCATCGCCTCTGGGACTCTACTGTATTTCTCAACGACTTCTTTCACTGCTTCTCTAAGTCCCGCTTCGTCCTCCGCAGTCAGCGAATAAAGGTAAGCCGCAGTCGCCTGGATTCCGAGTGTTCCATACGTGTCCCCTTGGATCGGACGTTCAAGTTTGAGGAGAAGGAACGACAGTTTCGACTTGGATGGCCTCTCCTGTCTACACTCAATGCCTCGTTTCCTTAGAGCCTCTTTCAAGCACGCTAATAAGCCCGCTGACATACGCGCTGTAAGGGTGATACAGATGGACATCGTACGGGGCTGTCGAACATCTACTATGAAGAGCAGCTAGCAGGAATAGGAGCTTTCCAACACGACTATTCACCCTATTCAAAAAAGAACATTTGATCATGAACCGACTTGGAGCTACAGCGATAGGAGTTAAACACTTGCAGATCAGATTCATAGACCATCTCAGCGACTCTAACCTGAATTCATACTTCCACCGACTCACACCGCCTTCCTATGTTCAGTAGCATTCAGATATCATCACAGTTTTCACACCACACAAGCCCGCCCTGATCAGCATTAGCCTTAAAAACGAACTACAACGGAAAGTAGAGTTTCCATGCAAGGCGCTTAGGACCGAAGTCGTGAACATCGTATCGGTATCCTACTTGAGAACACTCCTAAGAGAGTCCGAGACAAGGCCACAGAGAGTATGTCCACACAAGGCACCGTAAGTGAACTATTGCTTCCCGGGCAGCTTGCAGTACGGCTCAATGATAACCGCTAGAAAATGGCTGTGATGATTGCCGGCTTATGAACCGGTTCATGACCTACACCCAATGCTGGGGCGGTATCCATAGAGAGTGATAAACCCTGTCATCTTTCCGTGACATAACATAGCACTGCATATTGTTCATTGAAACGCTATATTTCATAGTGTTAACGTAAGGGTCACGCCAGGCCCTTTGCCCAGTCGAATGCTTCGAAGGCTTTCCTCAACACTTTCATATCCTTATTGTATCTGACCAATGACTCTCCCAAGACAACCGCTTGAAACGATTTGCCCGAAAATATCATTTTCCAAGTATTGGTAGAGTCTCTGCCATCCAACTCACTTTTCCTCACCACCGTTGCCAGGCTGATCGTAGTGCACCAGACTGAGCTTGTCGATTTCGAGCATACCAGCGATGGTTTGCTGAGAACAAAAAGCTCAGGTTCGCCCTGCAGTATGCGACTCACCAGTCCATAGTCCCAACGGAACTCCTTTGCCTTGTCGATTATGTGTACTAGGCCCACTTGCAGGCCGAAATCAACGTGCATGTACCTGGGGAGCGGCTTCCAAACCAACGGCAGCAACATTCACTACGGAGAAGACGGCGGTATGCCCGAACTGCTGACATCGCTCCGCCCTTTGCATTCGACTATTTTCGGCTGGTTACTCCACGTGTCACCACTCAAGCTCATGCCCTGGCGAAAGTATCTACAACAGATAGGTTTCCGGGAGGCCATCACAGATGATGCGACGGCCTACGACTCGAGTTCCTTGACCCTGTCGTGTGGTATGGGGAAGCACTGCATAGTCGTATGAGCTCCCCCGCCCAGTAGAGCCATCACGTCATCATCTGATCACAGTACAGCTAGCGACAACATCACAGACAGAAGCTCACTTTGGGGAGGGGTTTTCACCGTCTCGATGAATACCGGTACGCAAGGAGGGTCCAACGTGGCGTAGTAGTGTACGAGACACTTCTGAGCAGTGTGAGAAAAACATACATTAAATACGACAATATGAAAAATTTTGAGGGCACTCTTGTTGGTCTTCCCTAAGCTGCGCGAAAACTTTCATAACGTAACGAACAACCTCCCGAGCTCAGCTGAGGAAATCAAACACGGATTCCAACACTGTCCATGAAAACCGAGACTGACAACCTACCACCGCATAGTTCTGTAGCAATTCATCTTCATGTTACTATTTGTATTCTAGATATTAATTGAATCACGCCGCCCCTGTTATCAGTGATAGCCCTAGATATAATATTCCCTCATCACACAAACCTATAGTATCCCTAATAGCAGTATAAAACCATATTTTAAATCTAATGCATCGACGGCAGTCGAGGCTCTATGAATTGAATGACAAACCGTTGGCGAAGTGAACAGTCATCACAACAGCTTCTCACCTGGTAGTTTCTGATCTCCTCAGCCGTCTCCTCATCAGCCGTCCTCAGCGACGCACAGTGGTTTTGAGGCACTATGATCAATTGCCCTTGCAGTAGCGTTGACTTGTAGCTGACCGCAATACAGTTGAAATTCCCATAGGAAAATCCCCCCGGTACTTGGCCATGCATATGTATACTCTCGGGCTCACTGCGATTAGCTTCTCCTCGCGATTGCGGGCCCAGCTCGAGTGCTCCATACCTGAGCGAAATACGGAGACCTCAATACACTGAAACTTCACAGGATTCACATCTAAGCTCGGGCAGTGTGGAAAATACGCACATGCTCAACTGCATATGCTGGTGACACTATGGAAATTCCGAGGACATTTCGAAGTTGCTGTACATCCGAATTCGTATGTCAACTCCTATAATGAGTGAGGGAACTCCCGAGCTCAGCCGAGGAACGCCAACACATATCCCCAACACTAAACACACTTGGTGACACGATAGAACTCTTCATCATAAAAGCTTACATAGATCACATTCACGCTGGGTCCTTCTAGCCGCCCGTCTCTCGCCCCTCTCCTCCTTCCTCCTCTTCTCCTCCGACACCCATCTCGTCCCTGATCGCAATCCATCTCAGCGGCCCCCAGGTCCCCGATGGTCCTACCCCTATATCTACGTTTCCTCTCCCTGGACAGCTCAGCCGGCATGCTCTCCATAGGATTCTCACCGCCTCCTCCCAGCTCGGTAGCCCCAAAATACTCATCTTCATCGGCGCTTCCTTGGAACCGTTTGTTCTTCCTGATATTTTCCGCCAGGTGTTTGTCGTATTCACCACTTCTGACCCCTCGACCAGCCCTCTCCCTAAAAGAAGGACTCATCCTAGAGCCGTCGAGTAGCCCTCCAAGCACTGTCGAAGGAGCTCCGAGACGTCCATCTTGTCCTCATCCTTATTATCCTCCCTCACAGAAAGCATCTTCGCCCGACTCGACCCGGCGCTTCCCAGTGCCTATCCATACCACTCCTCCCTCTCGTATCTCTACACCCCTCTACTACCCCCTGGCCCTTCAGGGTCTCATCGACCACAACCGTCTTGGTAACCATCAATGAGTTGAGCCGCTCGTACTCCTGCATGTTCCCAGCTAGCATGGCCCTCATAGCTGCTGCCGAGACCTCGTTGGCATCCAGGCCGTCCGCGTCAACTGAACTCAGCGACGTCAAGTCTACCTCCGACCCCTCTACTACCTTGCTCCTTAGGACAGACCTCTTCCACACGCCCTTCGCTTCCGTCTCGCTCACCATGGTACTTATCAGCCAGCTGGGCCAGGTCATCTCGAGGGGCTCTAAGGAGACTCTTCCTGTCCTAAACTCTTGCCCAACCCCTCACCTGCCGCGTGGTCGGCGCTTCTCCTCCTCCCCCGATCGGCTCCCACTCCTACCCCAGCCCCTCCTCCTCCCCTCACCGCGATGCCCAGACCGACCGTCATCATTATCGTTATGTCTCCTCTCCCTAGAACTCGTCTCAGAGGCACCAGAGTCCCGCTCAGACTCCCGTCGCCGTCTCGCTGCCCGAGCTTGCCATCGGCGCCCACCAGAGTTGACCAGACAACTACAAGGAGGCCCCTCAGGACCCCAAGACCATCCATGCTAGTACCTCTCGGGTAAGGCCCATGGGTCTGTCGCCTTGGCCTTTGCCGACATATGAGCTCGCTCGGAGAGACCTTCATCATTAGCAAGGTCACTGAAACAGTCCTCTATATGTTTGCTTTCCTCAGCTGAGCTCAAAAATTCTCTTCCCGAAATTATAAAAGTTCACACGAAATATGCAAAAACCAACAATTATTTCCCGAAATTTTCTCAGAATTTTTCCTATCACGTGTGCATATCCATCCGCGCTCATCAGATTACATTTTATTCATGCGCTCATCAGATTCCTTCCTGAGCCTCTCCCTCTCAGCCCTCCGCTCCGCCGCCTTCCTTTCCATTCGAGGAACCGCCATTTTTCCTACACCCAATCGACAGCCTCCCTCACCCCCACATACCACTCATCACCTATTTCAAACATTGCAGCCAACCGGTCCGCCGTGGGGTCAGCGCTGCCACCGGTCATCCACTGATCCCGCTTGGGACCCCCCTCACTTTTCGAAGACTCACTGTCCCGTAGTCCAGCCTAAGACGAGTCATTTCGTCATCCACAGTTTCGTCCGCTCTCTACAGAGTCGTCGCGGGGCTCAGCTTCCGCGTCCCTCTCCCGATGGTGGTGATGATGACGATGCTTTGACTTCTTAGACTTCTCCTTCACTCCGCTCACCTTTACCGCGCCGAACATGTGAGACCACGGAACCGACAAAAGCTGTGAGGAAATCACTTCTCGACGGGTTCATCAACTACAGTGCGTGCCTATTTGATACTATGCAAATGTGAAGAATGTGTATTCCCGGGATCAACGATAGTGAACAGCTTGTCGCTATCGCAGTTACAGGTTACTTTCATCACATCACATGTTCATAGCCATGTATATGTTGTTTATGCGATATAGTTCCAGATCCATCTCGAGAAATAACATACATTTCTCACATGCATTGCACACGAGGGCTCAGCCCTAGAGCGTGCCTTTACCTACCACTACGCCGATACCATTAGAAAAACCCAAAGAGCCTCTCTACAGGAAAGTACCACTCGGAAGATCTCTCACTAACGGGGTTATGAATTTTGAGTAGGGCATAGAAGTCAGTCGGTATCGATCAACTTGGCGCGCGCGATGTCGAGATGGGATATTCGGAAGCAGGCCAGGAGCTGCTCCGGAAGCTCACTGTCGTCTTCACCTTCCATCACCAACCCCACATGGGCCTGAAACAACTACACTGACGTCCTTGCCCATCACTAGAGCCCACCATGCAGTCCTTGAGGAGCCCCGAGAAGGAGTAGAAGCTCTTTCGAGCTAAGTAGCACCACTGTCGAATATCAAAGTCTATCTCAGCCACCTCCCCCCGACCGTCAACGTCTGCGTGCAACTGCAAGCTCTTGGTCAGCAACGCCGGTTTACCGTTGTATCTGCCCTCGACACAGTACTCACTCTTGATCAGTTTTGGAATATATGGTCGCTTTCCTCAGCTTAGCAGTTTCCTCACTAATCATATAAAATTTACAATAATCTCCCGAAATTTCCTCAGAATTTTCATATTGTCACCAACATATGCGGTTGGCCATGAGCATATTTCCCCTCCCTACTGCTCTCGATGCCCCTACTCCCACCTGTTAACTATTCCTGGAAGCCCTAGGTCTTGGGCGTTCTCAATCAAGGCTATTATTTTCAAGGCGCTCTCGCCCTTCTTCGACACTCCTGTTTTCAACAACCTGTAGCACAACGGAAATGCATTTCGAATGATAGAGCGCGACAACCCTTCTTATCACATTTCACTTCCTAGCAAGCATATTATTGGAGTTTCACCCGTTTTACGTGCAGTGGCGTAAAACTCCGTGAAAAACGCGATGTTTGCGCCTTGCAATAGTCGTGAAATATGTTTTTAACTAGTGTTTTTCATATCACGGGTGAAACTCCAATATCAATGAAGGGAATCGGTAATATAAGCTATGTATTACTGTTTATTGCTGACTATTGATTCATATATTTATCCGGCTATAATAATATTCATTATACGATTATGAAATATTAGATATAATATAGGGATAAAAATAATATTACTAAAAAGTGATCTACATAGAAAATGACCCCACTACACATAAGCTCACAGTCAGCGACGGGCGAGAACAACAGCTGTTGAAACGACATTGCCGTGACCATCATAGTGGCACCCAGTAAAATAAAACAGCACGGAATCAACAACAATGCACAACATGCTCGAAAAACGCATGGTTCTATCCGAATGTATGGGGGCTCCTCCTCACTCTTTGAACAGCCTAATAGCACTGATCTGCTCCAAATTGCCGTTGTGGTATTCCTCAATCACCGTGGGGTTCATCACGAAATACGACAGCACCGACATACCGGGGTCGTTGGGGTCGGCAGAGGTGAACAGGCCAGGTGGCGCGTATCTGTGCAGTCAGCTAAGGAGAGTCTCATGAGGCTTTGAACCTCCTTACGGTAACTGACAGTTCACCACGAGGAACCGCGGTATGCCAATTTCCTTCTCCCAGCGGTGACCATTGATATGATGAACACCTCTCCAAAACGAGGGCACCTCTGAGCTGTGCACGTCGTCACCTTGCGCGATCTGATGGAAAGTTGAATCAAACAACTAAAACAGGCGGAGCGACGCGAATCCGAGGGCAGATTGCTCATACAGTGCGTCCGCGATTGATAGGCAGTCATGAAAAATGGCATAACTCGGGATACAATGAGCTAATACATCAGAAACAATTCTTACTCTCTGGAATACGCTGAGTTCCGCAACCTTCCGGAGCACCATGCCAGACTTCACAACGTCCACCCCTACACACTCGTAGATGGGGTATCTACTCACTGAATTGATCAAGGAGTGGTATGCATCGGAGTCCCTCTACCTGCTCGGCAGCTTCAGCCCGGTGCTCGCATAGCCTTTCTGGCGGACCTTGAAACACGTCGCATTCCCCTGGGCCCAATAGCAGGCCCTAGGATCTTCTTGCGGTCCAAACGGTACCGTCCCTATACGAAACCCATCACCAGCATCAACCGCGCCTTCACTCACCGAAAGGCGCCCATCCGAGCAACTCTGGAGGCGGCCACGGGGTGTACCTGACGCTGGTCATACCGCACCAATGCCGGCTCGTCAGTTACTCGTATCGCTCTCGACACAGGTCGTAGTCAGCTGCCGTAAGCTCGCCGTCCGACAATTGGCTGCTACCACTCCCTCGTCTCTTCCTATTCACATGCCCAATACTGCCTATCACAGCAACACGTCGTCATCGAATAGCTCCTCCTTTTCTTACCAGCCTTGCCAATCTTGATAACCACACCATGGGCCTCCACCCGAACATCCCTCCACCACAACCGTAGGCCTAAACACAATGTCCCCCCCGAAGCCCTAGCCCTATAGGGTCTCACGTGAGATTGCCACAATACCGAGGATTAGATATGTCAATAGACGCAGTAGACCAGGTAGACGTATGTCCCTGTGAGCAGGAACAGTAGCCTGAAGGAGATACTATACGGGCAGTTAACATGAACCATATGTCTACCTCTGGTCGGTGCCCCGGCCCGGCTAGCAACGCCGTAACCAATGACACTACATCGAGGCCGATAGAGACACACAGGAGCAGGAAGGGGACCGCGGGGGGCAAGCGGACCAGGGCTGATCGTGCCCAACGAGCAAGCACTGACAAAGACCCCTCCCATCTCCTTCGCCGTCCTCCTCGTCGTGGTCTATCCCGAGTCATTGAAATACAATCACACTTCTTAGCATTCACTCTACGAGCATTCTAGCGCAACATGGGCGTAACAGAACAGCAGAAACCATCAGAAACGTAGTGCATCATGAATTGAACACATGCGTGCAGGACGTCAACTCCTCTTTCTGCCCAGCGTTTTCGACTTTTCCAAACAGTCACTGATACGTTCTCTCAGCCGCTTAGCTCTGACCACTTCCTGAACTCCCTCACGACGATCCCGGGCGGCCGCTCGCAACCTGTCCCCCAGGGTCCCATAAAGACATACTGGTAGTGTCCTCACCTGAAAGTCCTCTCGTCAGTTATCAACCGAGGCACCTGCGTGGTGAGGTACACGGGTACAACCCCGGCACTTCGCAGTTTTCTCGATCCCAGCACCGACCTGGTACACGACCAAGCTGATACACGACTGACGGGATGTCTTACTTGATGTAGCCCGTCGGTATATCAACAGCATAGCCCCGTCTTGTTAGAGCGATGCGCCCCAGAGGCGATATTCGCTTCTCAGGCCGGGACGGTAGCCTGCCCGATGAGGAGTCCACCGGCTCAGTGAGGGGCTCCAACATACCATGGGCTGAACCAACAAACATACAAGTGACCAACAGTAGCTCGGCTCACTTGCAGCCTCCTTTATAGCTTCTGAAACCAACTTAGCCGCCCTGTCTTTGCTCGGGACCTTCTTCAAGTAAGGGTCCAGGAGAAGTACCTGAGGGCCCATCATGAGCATTGACACCACAGTCGGGAACTCTCATGAACAACGAGCGCACCGTCCCACCGGAGAATAGCCCTTTCGGCCACTTAGTAGACTCGGACGCGATCGAGCCGAGGGCGGACTTTGGCGCAGCGCCACTAAATGCAATGCCGCCGCCAGGTTTTGAACCGCCGCCGCTGATCGAGTAACGTCAGGGTCGTCCACGCCAAACAACAGCCTGACCCCATGAACAGAGTCCCACAAGGGCCACTCAGAAGGTACGCCTACGAATCCGCGGTCTTCCAGGCCTCAGTGCCAATACTGCCCTCCTTGGTCGACTCCTGTAGCCCCTCCAGAATGCCCCGAACCATCGCCTTAACCTAACCAGATGCCATGAGGGCCACAAGGCAGCCTCAACAAAGGCCCCGCCTTCTCGATTTTGATGTCCCTGTCAGTCGGCACCTGCGCCGGCTGGACACCCCACTGTGCGGCGATCCTTGGTGGAGGCAAGGACGATCGACCCGAGGTGAGGAACATGATAGACTTGCACCTTCAGGAGGCGAAACCTTAACCAACAGACCAGCAGGCACCTCACTTGTCCTCGCCAGCCCGGCCGACCTTCTTCACTGTCTCGGGCCGTATACGTCCGACCCTATGTATGTAGTTAGCTGTCGTCTTGGGAGCTCCGTAGTGGATCACTAAGCCTATGCCTGAGACCAGCATCATGATAGCTGACCGTCACAACGACAACAGCAACAGCAATAAAAACACTAACAACAACACTAGCAACAACAAGAACACTAACAAAGACAATGACAACAACAACAACACCGACAACAACAACAACAACAACAACAACAACAATAACAACAACAACAACACTAACAACAACAACACTAACAACAACAACAACAACATCCCCGACAACAACAACAGCACTAACAGCAACAACAACAACAACAACAACAACAACAACAACAACAATAACCACCGACCCACCCGGGATGTCGAGGCCTCTCGCAGCGATGTCGGTGGTGATGAGTACGACTGGCCCAAAGTCTGCTAGGGCCGTCCTGTAGGAGTCCATCTGAAAAAAAGGCGGAGCGAAGCAGCACAGATGCCCGATGAACCTACCACTTGTTTCCGCTGCGAGGGCGACATATCCGCATGGAGGGCCATCATGCGCCCCGGAGCACAGACATTCCTAAGCTGGGGATCATCAGCCAACAGGCATACCTCCGTCTTCTCGCGACAGTATACCAATACCTAGCATCATAACACGGGCAAAAAATTGAAGTCGCTGTAGTTGCATGAAAGTCTTACCTTGTTCGCCACCTGTATATCACTTCCAGACCCTGGCCGCAGCTTCTCAATAGCCCACGTGAGCTGCCGGAGCCTCCTCTCAGAGTTCGAGGAAAGCCGGGCATACAAATGGCTCACTTCCCTTAGTGCATAGACGACCTCTGAACAAGGCCCAGCCGTCCCAACCAGCCCAAGGGGGCCCCTCCAACCCTCACGAGCTTCCATCTCTTCCGTAGCGTTGAGGACCTCATATTTCGGTGACAGCTCCCTAAGCCTATCCTTCATCCATGCATCGAAGGTGGCCGACGCGTAGATCAGCTGTGCCTGTGGTTACCAGTCGGCCGGACCAAGAGGAAAGCAGGGGCCTACCTGACGACCCCGAGTGAGCTCTCGGACCAAGCCCAGCACTATCTCGCTGGTCAGCAGTACATCGGCCTCGTCCAGCACAACACACGGTAGTAGAGGCTTAGGCTTCTTCAGAAGACCCTCAGCCGCAACCGGACTGGGGGTAATTTCCGGGCGCGCGACAGGTTTACCCAACGATAGTGCCCTAAGGTGAATGCTGTGAGAGTCGGTCCAAAGGTCCCTACCCGTGCTCGGCGAGCCACTTCAACCGACCCGGCGTGCCCACTACAATGTCCGCCCCATGACTGAGCGCCTGACCAACTATCAACTATTGGATGCTAGCGTATCCATAGGACGACAACATAAGATACAGAGCAGGTCCGGAAGGCCCCTCACCATAACATGGGAATCCCGAACATCCCTGCCTGTCCCCCCTGCACACAACTGTACCGACATCCAAGGTGGCGAGTACTTCTTAACCTGCCCTATACCCCTCAAAAAGCACCAGAGACAAGCCTACCTCAGCGTGTGCCTGCTCAGCGAGCTCTCTAGTAGGGACTATGACCACAAGCAAAGGGCTGCCCTTGCCTGCCGACCTCACTATCGTTTTCTGATCGGCTGATGATCGTACCGCACTGAAAGCGGCCATGCCAGCAGGAGCCCCTCATACGGAGCAATCACCGTCCTTCCTCGTCCCTCTTGATACTGAGCCCTTCAGACACTCGAACAGTACGGTCGACTACTGGCAGCAAATACGCTAGGGTCTTCCCTGAGACCCTCCATCATCACCCTACAGTACTCGTACGGTGTCTACCTGTCCCAGGTGGTGACACCATGGACACACTGCGCTGATCCTCTCCTCCTATAAGAGGGTATGCTAGTCTTTGTATCGGCGTAGGCAGCTGAGACAGTCCACTCGACAAGCCCCTGTCCCCACCCTACCGGAAGGTCCTTCAGCTTGGTCCGTTGCTTGCCTCTCGTCCCCGCTTCGAGAAACCAGATCCCGAGCTTGCTCAAGAGGCTACTAGACTGCACTAGGTCGCCAAACGTAGTCGTCCGGCCCCTCTCGCCAGAGCCTCGGCCACCACGTTCACTGTCGGCCCCTCCCTTAGGCAACGCCCCCCTACGTCCTCTGAGAGGCCTCGCTACTACACCACCACTAAAGTGGCGTGTCAAGATGGTAGGTAGTCGGCTCTGCAGAGGTCCCAGGACTTGCAGCACTGTAGTGGACATCCATCTCACTAGAAGAATACACGGGTCCCCCTTCCCTCCCAACGCAAAGCCCCTAGGTGTACACCGTAGAGTAACATCATGTTCCAATAGTGATACTTGGTCACGGGAGCATCGTCTCTTCTGGCGTTATCCCTGTCTCAGTGAGAGCTTCCACTAGTCCCCTCAGCTTGTCGTCGTCCCCAACACCCTAAGCCCGACCATCACCTGCAATGTAAGGACAAACAACCTACCTCCCTCGCCTTGATCAGAGGTATACGCTCCTCCAAATTCCCAAGTGGGGAAAGGTCGTATAGGAGACGCCTGAGATTCTTCATAGGAAACCCTTTAGTACCCCCCCCCCCCCCCCAACGACTACCTACGAAAGGCGATAGTGATCATGGCCAGGACCATCCTACCCTCCTCTGTATCCGGCAAAAACGACTCCATCGCAAAATCTGCAAGTTCATCGAGAAATATGCACATGGCAAACTACATGTGTTGGTGACAAATTATGAAAATTCTGAGAGGAAATTTCGGAAAATTATTTTTGGTTTCTGAAAATTTCTGCCAGAAACTAGTGGTAAAACTCCGTTGAGGGTAGCAAACATATATTCCAACACTGACCTCGACTTTTGGTTTTCAGGTCAATACGCAATACTATCACTCCCACGTCCGACTGATCTCCGGGAGAGGAAGTCTCAGTCGTCCAAGAGAGGACCCCTCTCTTAGGCTGGGACCCTGTCACGACGAAGCCCTACAAGAAAGCCATCTACCACCACCGCCACGACGCCAACATTCCTCTACCTTCTTCCTCCCATAAGGAAGCTCACATCGGGGGCAATCACGGCGGCCCTTCTCTCCGAACCAACGGCTCAAACACAACCTATAGGCCATGATAATCCCTGCTAGCACCATGGGCGTGTCCGACCTGTGGAACTTGTGGTGGCAGATGTCCAGTTCGAGGCCATCGTCGGCCTCCTCCAAGTCCTTCCCACACACTCGACAGTTGAGATCGTCGATGCTGGCCCCAGTGCCCTCTCGGGCATTTCTTATGATCTTCCCGAGGCCCTTGAGTCTACCCAAAAGAGGCTCTACACAGCAGGTAACTCCCCTATTCACCTCACTGTGACATCCTCTACCTCCACTGGAGGCAACCCATCCTGGCTGGTCTGAGGCATCGTGTCCAAGCAGTCAGGCAGTCTGACCACTCCGAAGGTGCCTAAGGTCAGTCCCCTGTCGTAAAGCCGCCTGGTGTCGTCGCTACTGTGGGGGATGCCGACGCCCTTCTCGTTGGTAGTTCCGCCTTGTGGACCCGCCGACTCCTCTACTCCCATTATACTCAATCGATTGACTTCAAGCCATCGTATCAAACCTAGCCATAAGAACATGCTGCCCTAGATGAGCACATAGACTCACCCTCAGACCCTCGACTCTCCTCCTCAAAGGCTCGTAATAAAGGGTTCTCAATGCCTTCCATCTTAGGCGAGATAGTACCAATACTATACACCGGCAGGAAGGCCACGTAGACCTTGAAAGCCAGGAGGTACACAGTAGTCAGTGAATGCTCCAGCCTACTGCCCTAGAGTGGCCTGTTGCTCCGCTGACCTGACGGCAGCCCCCCGCCTCACACACATTGAACCCCTCCAGCCGATACCTTCTCCCTCCAGCCCTGAGGAACCAATCAGCTCAACCGAGATCGACCCGGGCGGGACCCCACCGGAAAACAACCGTCGAAGGGCGCTTGTCCTTCGGCAGGTCGAATTGTTTCCTCAGCTCCTTCTGGACGCGTTCATCATAGGCCACTTTACCATGGGATGTCTTGTACGAAAAGAAAGGCACTTTACGTTGGGTCTGGCCGTCCGAGGCGCACGTAAGAGCAGAATTCTGAGGGCACAAAGTGCCCTGTTGCCTCCTGTGTCATATACCAAAGAGTGCCGCGGCCGAGCACGAGGCACATCAGGAGTAGTTGGCTGACTTCGAGGCCCCAGTCGAATCTTAGACAGTAACTTGCGAGCTCGAGAAAGCACCGAGGAGCTAGATGTGCCTAAAACCACCAGAGTGCAGAGGCGTGTGGTACTGGGAGCTCCTAATTACGTTCGAGGCCAATATGGAAGAATGCGGCAGGTGATTCGACCTTACAGCCTACGATGTCCTCTACAGCAGTGGGCTCCTGTGCCTCAATGGCTGGCTGGGGTGATGTGCATCTCACGGGACGAGTGCGTAGGGAGTGTAGATTAAGTTGGACCTTGGAAAGGCTACAATACAGACATAACGACTCAAGGAGGGATCGAACCTTTGCCTACAGGTCTACATGCGTGCGCTCTACCTACTCAACTACACGAACTGCACACCTAACCACCTCAACCCATATCACTACCGTTCCACATCCCATCAGTCTTGTCGAGTCCCTCGACAGGGCGTTATCCACAAGATGGAAGTTGTCCATGACGTACACGTTAGAGGAGGTAGAGAAGAAGAAGCGCCTCGGTATCGGGCGAAGCTCATGCAGAGCCCGCAGCTCCTCTTGCTGTGCCCTTTCGAACTCCTGCCACTGACCATCGTCGCCTAGGTACTCAAACCTACCCATGCCCATCGCCGCAAACCACACGCCCTTTGTACTCACTTCTTCTCCATCACAGACACACCTGGTGAACGGTCGCGCGTCTCTCTTGACCCACTGGGCTCTTCGGATAGCCCTAAATCGCCCCCAGGTTTCCCAGGCGGCTCCTTCGGCACCCTTTTCCTAGAGCCCCCCAGCAGCCTAGGCCCTACTCGGACATGTCGGCAAAACCCAGTGCGTAAGTTCCTCTGCACGGCCAAGCCAAATCTACCGTCGGGACGAAGTGAGCCTCCCAAAAACTGAGCCACGGGGCGCTCACTCGATCCTGTCAAAGGCCTGGATAACATAAAGACTGGAGTTGTGCTGGAACTGCAATTCCCTTCGTGTGCTTCTGCGGGATGCCCTTTCTGAACGAGAAGCTCCCGATCGCGGATTCCCCTACCCCTCCTCTACACTGATCTTACTCAGAGTGAGTTCTTCCTCGCCCCTATCACTCCCCTCATCCAATGCCCGTTTACTGTAGTAGTGTCGTTGTATATGCCTAAATGATTCCCATAGTACTCCACATGCAGTCTCATTAGGACCCTTCCTACTACTACTACTACTACTACTACTACTACTACTACTACTACTATGCCTTGCCAGATTACTACCTCTGTATAGCCGGCTCAAATGGGAGGTACCGGGAGCCATCCCAATACTCAAAGTACAAAAGTGTATGGCTAGTTAGGGTAGTAGCCCGGTCGTGCATGCATTGACACAAACTTTATAGGAACTCAGGAACAAGCCATCCAGATAAGAGCCCACCCGAGGTTGGCACGAGCCCCCACTGTAAGGTAGAACAAAAATCTGTCAATATCGCATGAAACACATCATACGGCCCAGCCGACTACACTTCTCCCCTTTCTATCTTGGCTCGGATACGCTCCATGTCCCGCACTACGCCATTAAAAGCACGCTGAAAAGAGAATACATACGACCAAGGTAGGCAGACCTCATTAAATGACCCTGTGTAGGCGAACCTTACCAACTTCCTACACCATTTACTCTATCAATGACAGTAATTGTCGTTTTTTTTGCGAACATTTCGATTCCGACTTGAGCGATAAACCACCACATAAGCTCAACATCGATCCTCTCCACACGAAAACTGCTGACTTCCACTGTCTTACTAAGGGTTCGACGAGACACGCGACTTCTATGGAGGCTCGTGATGCGTTAAAATGATATGAGAAACTATGGAGAAAATCTCCGAATGATATTGGAAAATTGTCTATACCTGTGTTGGGCTCAATATTCTATGTATAACGATATAACAATAATATAATGGAGTTTCATTCGTTATACGTGAAGTGGCGTGATACTCGATGTGAAAAACGCGATATTCGCGGTGATATGTAGTAGTCGTGAAATATGTTTTTTTACATCACGGAACTCCAGTGATATACATACAACTACTATATAGAGGGAAGCAGTTCGAGAAGCATCCCAGAGGCATCATACAATGCTTAATCCTCACCGTGACAACCCATAAGCGCACATATAGCGTTCGGCTAGGAATGCCTAGTCATTCTAGCACAGAGTTGAGCACGGGGCCACACTGAGTCCCTCTGACTTCGACGTCTACTCGTTTCAAAAAGTGGAGAACTAAGGACGACTACTGCTAGACCGTCCATGGTATCGCGGCGAGACTTAGTCCACTACCAGTCTCGTATACCATTGATACTGATGAGTGATACGCTCAGATGTAGCATGTAACTCTTTAATTGAATTGAGTCTACTACCAGTCTAGTAGTATCCTTCTCATAGTTAACAGCTACCATGACGGTCAGAGCTCCTACTATCATTGACCCGAAGAGGATAGGCCCAGCACGCGCCTTAGGGAGCTTATCCACTTGCCGTTGGAGGAACCCCATGTCGAGGAAAACTGAAACTGCTCAATGGGGCGCCACGACAGTGACGAGATTCCCAATCAGTGCCACAGAGACGGATCTTCAAAAATAATCGATTACCAGGGCTAGCGCTAACTGCGCTTAGTGAAATTTCAAGTGAGGAGACCGGGAGCAGGTAATAGATGGACGAGACTTAGCTTGGTGCGGCAGAGACTATGCGATGATTAATCTCCGGTTCTTGGAGGGTTTGATCACCTCAGAGAATTTGAATAGTTGAATCGAGGTGCTTGCTGCTCGGATGGATTAGCGGCATATTTGGGCACCACTCCAGCTGCATGTGGATGTGCGAGATGTCATCTGTGGGGATCGAACCTGCGTGGTCAGGTTGTTGCAAATCACCCAAAGTTTTCTTCCGACTATGCGACTCTTCTTCGGGAGCTCTAAGAAGAAGGAGCAGCAGGCCCAGCAGGCCCCTCCGTCCAAAGTACCCTCGGGCCTCTTGGGTGAATCCTTGCTGGTTGAGCTGGGACTCTTGTCAGAATCTTCCCGATGCTATCATGAAGAACAAAGAGGCCATAGCCACTTTGGAAAAGAGGGAGCAGCTCATTGAGAAGAAAATGGCATTGCAGGAGCAAGACGCACGTGGGACTATCCACTTACCCGTTGGGAACGTTCATCGACTATATGGGGCCCTCAGGGACTCGAGCCGCGGCCAAGGACAAGCGGGGTGCCTTGATGGCTCTGAAGCGGAAGAAGATGCTCGAGACTGAACTGACAACTCTGATGAATTCACGTGAGTTCCAAGGGCCGCATTAGACCAAGAGAATTGATGCTGTTTTGTGGCGCCTTGTAGGGATGACATTAGAGCAGCAAATTCTGTCCTTGGAGTCGAGTCAGACTACAGCGGTGGCAGTGTCGGCCCTGGCCACGGGCGTGTCAGCTCAGAAGGTTATGAACCAACAGCTCAATATTGACAATGTACGTCTTGGACAGGGGGGCCTGGCTGTAGTGTATTCGTCACTGTGTTGATTCCAGATTGACGTCCTCATGGACGACATGCAGGAAATGCAGGACATGCAAAATGAAGTTGCCAACGTATTGCCGACTACGTCCTTTACTCCACAGGCTGGGGACCTTATGATGCTAGGTGCTCGCCGGTGGTAACACTGTGATGGACGATGAGGAGCTCCTCAACGAATTGGACGAAATAGAGGCGCAGGAGCTAGAGGCCAAGATGGTCGATGTAGGCTTGATGCTTGTACCTCGCTGTGATTTGATTTCATATTAGGCGGCGCACGTCCCTTCCGGAGGAGTCGTGGCCCAGCCGGATGTTGCCGTGCCCTCGGTGCCTGTCGAAGCGCACCAATCAACGGCAGAGTCTTCGAGGGCTCAGCGGAATGGTAGGAGTATAGGGTGGTCCGTATCAATTTGGCCATAGTTCGAGATGGTGTGGTATGGGATAGCTGGGAATTAGGCTCATGTATAGTGGAGTTATTGGCTTTGATTATACTATTTGTGTCAGATGGCCTAACAGATGAGGAGGCAGACCAGCTGGCCGCCCTACAAGCTCAGCTTGGCTGAGATCTTCGTGGACCACGTACTGTACCATTGACAATTCATTCTATCAACATCATTGGTGCGCCCTCTAGGAGGGCGGGGCGTTGCTAGCGAGGCTTGGCACATTTCTGTATTCAGCATGTCCGTCCTAGTGAGATTGGCCGATTCGACTTCTCTATAAACCTCATAGGTTACTATAAGCCATAATTGGTGTCGTGTTATGGGTAGGATGGTGAGGGAGATTGACCTTGCGTTGGTCGGTAGGCGTCTCTTCTTGGTAATGTCGGTCGTTCCGGTGAATCCCCAACCTTTCCTCAATGACCTCACTGGACAGGAGGTAGATATTGAGGAATCCTGAGGTTGAGCGGGTAAGATACGATCGAGGTCAGGTACTGGTTCGTCTGAAGTGGGCAACACTCGAGCTGAAGGGCCGCTTACAGAGTGTTGATACTTTCATGAATCTCAGACTGGACCACTGTGAAGAGTGGCAGGTAGTATATGCATCATCACAGCTGCTATTATATCTCTTAATTTCAGAGTGGTAACTTCAAAGGAGCCCTCGGAGACGTTCTTATACGGTAATAGGTTGAACCATTTCGGTACTGAGTTTGTCTCGGTGGTCTCACCCGTCAGCAGTGTGGGGGGGGATTTACGGGGTTGGTGACGATGTGAAACTTTGAGAAAGTTTCGGGTAGTTGTTATTGGTTTTAATCAATTCTCGCCCGATTTCATGTGTGAATTTTGGAGGCTTCTGAGCTCCGCCGGCGAAAGCGAACATACAGGGTGTCTCAAGAAAAAGGGAAAAACTCTGACACCATCTGAAAGTCCTTCACAAGAGCTTTCGATCGGTATATGATTTTTCTGAATATTCGACTTGCACAAAAAGTTATTCAGCAAAGCACATTTTTGTTTGGGCACTTCTATACTCCTGCACAGCCCGTCGAGTGACATCCTCTCCGCTGTTGAAGTTGCTATCTGTCCAGGCTCGATATAAAAGGGCTCGTCCATCCTATCAGGTGTAACAACGTCCTGTATGTGCGAGCAGCGAGCTCTAGTGGAGCAGGGGAAGAGCTGGAAGACTGATCGTGATAACAGCAGGGTCTGCAGTCCCTCATGGTTCCCCCATTATTAGGTTGATGGGAATCATCGTCATCAGTGAGAGTTCTATATAACGTTAGTGTGGAGAGAGTAGGAGAGGATGATTGGGAAGTAGCTGAGGAGTGGTATTGCTATTTTCTGCGATATTTCCGTCCTATTTTCTGTCCGTGTTTGTCAATCGAAAATGGTGGATCTTCTGTGGGGAGTAGCAGTCGATTTGGCATGTCTCAATCAGCTCCTCTAGAAGTGAAGCTCGACACACTGCGAGGGAAGGCGTGAGGGCACTTGCTGTGTGTGAGGTCAAAATGGCGGCGCTGTAGATACGCCTCGCGGAATGCTAATGATTACAGTGCTCATTCCGGTAGCGGCCTTTGGATGTGCGGCGATCGACCTCTCGTTGACTGGCAGTTGACACTACGGCAGACCAGGTGGTCTTGGGAAGGTTTTGAGAGTATTATGAGGCGGCTCCTCAGACGCCCTTTGGGTCGGTTTGTGTCGCCAGAGCGAGCCCCGACTATGCTAGGTTGTAGCAGGAGGTCTATCTCTGGTAAGAAGGGCGATTGTGATAGTGTTCGGTGCAGGGATCGAACCTGGGACCTCTCGGTGCCGGAGGAGAGCCTTCATATTGATGAGCAATATAAGGATTGCAAATACGGCAACATAGCTGACTGTTGGTCGATGGTCGGCAGTGTGGCGGCCAACAGGTTCACCCCTAAGGACTCAGTAGGAACCCTAGAGCTGTCTTGTCATGTGAATGTATACTACTCTATTATACTTATGTACCCTACTACCCGATACGGCTCATGAAGGGATGCTTTCATCGCGGTTCAGGTGCATTGGCAAACCAACTTGCGTTCGGACGTAGCCGAGCTGGGGAAGGTTCGTCGATAGCTTTTGAGGGGTCCTCATGGGGGTGCCTTTAGAGCCCTTGCTGGCGACGGTATCATCAGCGATCGGCTGTTAGCTTTGATCGTATAAAAGAGAACAGTATTCGGGAGGACCGAAATGACGGGCGGCAGGTGAGTCTGGAGGGGAGGTAGAAGGCAGTAGGATGGTGCGGCGTTGTAGGAGACGACCCCCATTGACCGGGTGCCGGACAGGCGGTCGGGCGCACTGCCGATACGCCATCTTAGAGAGGACCTTCCTTACGACTCAACACGGTAGTAGTAGTGGTGGCAGGGTGGGAATAGGCACATCGTCAACTACATGTGGAAGTTTTCACTGGTTTCTGTACATTTCTATCGTAACTCGTATATAAACTCTTCTATAATTGGTGAGGAAACTCTTGAGAACAGTTGAGAAAAGGGAACATATATTCCAACACTGAGGGAATAATAATAATGTTTGTGGTTGGGTCGACCTACGAGGGTTGGGTAGGTATCCCGGCTGTGAAGGGACGGTGCTGCAGAATTGGAGGCATCTTGTCCATCCTGGCAAGACTCGCACTATGCTGCGGCATGAGACTACTTTACGAGGTATGTCCGACAGTCGCTCGGAGGAATGCCTCGTGGACTTTCTCGGGAAGAAACGATGGCACTTTGCCAGGACGCGAGATGGTATAACAAAAATCGACCCACGGTTGAAGTAAGTGTCTATAATAGGGGTATGTAGTAGAATATGTGACGATCGTGCTAATATGGATTGGTGTTTCATACCGTATAGTAAGCACTATGCATGGGCTTTGGGTGGAAGAGGGTGTTCCTGTTTGGTTTTGATTGATCAACCATGCGAGCGTGCTGGGGTGGAATGTTTTTTTTCCATATTAATGATAGTGAACAACTGGTCGCTATTGCAGTCTCGGAAGTTTACTTTCATAATATGTTCATAGTAGTGTTTACAATAGGGTTTCACCCGATTTACGCGAAGTGGCGTAATACTCTGTAAAACACGATATTCGCGGTGATACGGAGTTGTCGTGAAATGTATTTTTCAGTAGTATTTTTCATATCACTAGGGTGAAACTCCATTGTTCATGCGATTCAGTCTCAGAGCGATTCTTATTAATCTCGGGAAATAGCACAAATTTTGCACATTTGCATATCAAATTGACAAGCACTGAACTATGGGGAAGTGAGGGCATCTTGTAGGTATCTTTCAACCCATAGGATCCAAGCTGAACCTCGGGACGCTCCTCTGTCTAAAACACGCCGTTTGGGCGGTCCTATTCTTATCAACAACGATGTGCCGGTATGACTTTTATCGAGAGTACTGTTGTGCTGGTGGTTTTTTCACGCGCCACGAAATTGAGGTTCAGCGATTGCTAATGCATGGCTACAGTCTTCTGCATAAAGGGCTGTGAACATTGATTCGAGTAGAAGATCGTCTCACGCTCCATCGCGACTGCGAGGCAGCGGTGTAAGGGTGTCGGCTTGTAAGAGGCCTCCTGAGCGGGCAGTGAACTCGACTATAGGTAGGGGGTGGAGACGCCGAATCTTGTGTGATGTAGGAGTGCTTAGATGGGCCTTCTAGTGAGGAGGGCGCCGCTGAGGAGAAGAGGGCTTCTAGGAGGTTACAGAGGCTGCAGGGGCTTACCCTACCTATCAAGTCTAGTGAGGCGGTGCCGGCCTTGGACTGTAACCAGAAGGGGTGCTTAGGTGCTCGCCACATGGTGTATGCCCATCTAGAGGAGCCCTCCTTGCACTGGATAACCCTCAATGTCTACCGCCTGTACAACATCCTTATTGTCATCAGCGTTATAACTTCGGTACGACTTGTCGTATGGCGCGTCGGTGTTGGTGATTCCTGTTGCCGGACTAGGTCGGGCTTAGTTCCTCTGAGTTCTTGGAAAATGAGTGCTCCCGTTTTATATGCAATACTATACACTGTTCAGGTGCTGGTCACTTTACCTGTTCCCGATACGTTGGCCTACGACACTCGGGATGGCTTGGAGGTTGCCGAGACAGTCTTCAACGTTATCTTCCTCTTGGAGATAGTGGTGAGTGCCAAGCACTCGACGTGGTGTTCACTAGACCCCTCCGGAGCTCCAGAAGCGCTCCCAGGATTGGATCTCACATGTGGAACTCAATCCTGGGAGCACTATTGAAATTCAGAAAGAATATAGTGAACACTCCGACGGTTGTGGTTATGGAACTGACTTTCTGTGCTACTCAGCTGCGCTTGGCGACGTCTCCTCATCTCCTCCGAGCCCTGTGGGAACCGTAGTGAAAGACTGCGGGTTCCTTGGTAGAAGCGATCAGAGCCAGATACAACGCGCTGGACATGATCGTCGTATTGCCGTACGTCCCAGTGTGGGTGGGCATCGACAGGGCCGATAATGAGATCGTCAAGCTCATCCTCTACCTTGTGAGTCCTTCTGTGTGTATATAGAGTTACCCCTTGATCAGTGCCGGCTATGCGAATGCTGAAACTGACGCGTTACAGCACTGGCTGGCGACTTCTGGTCATCAGCCTGTCCCTCAGCATGGACGCTCTCAGGGTAGGCCTTCCCAGCTCGATAAGAAGATTCTATTTCGGCTCTTGTGCAACCAGCCATGAGGTTTTCAATATTCCTTTGAAAGGAAACGAGCAAACTAATCTGTGGCGGTTGAGAAAAGCGCGCGCCCAACTTTCCCTCTCCTCAGGTGCCCATGCTGATGTTGATATTCCTGGTAACATGGTTTGCCTCGATCATATACTGGGTGGAGGACGTTACCTTGCCCGACACAGCCCGGCCTGCTGCTGCCTTCGCCTCTCTGCCTCATGCCATGTGGTTTTCTATAGTCACCATCAGTGAGATCTCGCTCGCCCTAATGACCTCGGTTCGATTATCATGCCAGGCACTGTGGGATATGGTGATACGGCTCCGGCAACTGATGGAGGTACTGGCTGGCAACAGCGTCACGCGCCATGAAATTATGGTCGTTAGGCCGGGCCATCTCAGCCTTGCTCATCATAGTCGGCGCGTCCTATATGGCCCTGCCGTTGAACATCGTCGGGTCAACTTTTTGGGATGTCTGGACCGACCGGTAGGTCCAGCTATGAGCAGGGGACCTGGTGATGGCATACGGGTTAGCGACAAGCTCCTCATCATTGACAAGATCCAGCAGAGGCTCTCAAGAAGGCGAATAACGCGAGATCGACTTTACGAGGTTAGTCGTAGTGTTAGATGGTTTCAGCATGAGAGTGTGAACAGGTATTCGCGACTATGGACGAGGATGGTTCGGGTGTCATTGACATTACTGAGTTCGAGCACATGCTGAATCGCCACTTCAGGCTGGGCATGCCGACTCACAGCATTCTGCGTCTCTTCCGGTAGGTTGTAGCCGCTCTGTAGTAGTAGCTTGTTTTCCTCAGTACTATTGACGCTGATGGTGAAGGGAAGATTTCATTTGATGAGTTTTGCAGCTGCCTGTTTCCCGAGCTGGTCAATCCTGAGATGTAAGGCATTAGTGATAGCATCTTCTGCCTGTGGGAAATTCCTACAGCTGCCTGCTATAGCACTGGGAGGAAACATAGTTTGAAACCGTTGTGGGGTTCGCATCTTTTTCTTTTTATTTCTTTTTATTTCTTTTTCTTTTTCTTTTTCTTTTTATTTCTTTTTCTTTTTATTTCTTTTTCTTTTTCTTTTTCTTTTTCTTTTTCTTTTTCTTTTTCTTTTTCTTTTTCTTTTTCTTTTTCTTTTTCTTTTTTTCTTCTTGCACAGCACCCCTTCGACCAGGCGAGTAATAGCCGGTATAAGGGTATAGCTGCAGGTTCAGTTAGTGCCTGAGCCCTGGTATCAACCAGTGTGGTACCCGGCAGACAGTTCGAAAAGTTTCGCATCTCAGCAGCGTATGTGCCTAGTTACACCCGTTTTACGCGAAGTGGCGTAAAACTCTGTGAAAAACGCGATATTCGTGAGATATGTTTCTCACTAGTGTTTTTCATATAGTGGGTGAAACTCCATTAATACTGCTGATGTACACGCTCTCTCGGAGTGTTGGGATATATGGTCGCTCTCTTCAGCTCAGGAGTTTCCTCACTGATTATAGGAGTTTATATACGAATTAGAGGAGAAGTGCACAGAAACCAATAAGAATTCCCTCGAAATTTTCACACATGCAGCTGAGCATGTGCATATTTTTCCACACTGCTCCTGGGACTGCTGGCCCCCGCTTAGCCCCTTGTCAGGTCCTTCCCAACTAGAGCGTCGGTTTTCCGCAATCGCCGAGGTAGGGACTGCCACTTCCACTTTGATTAACCTGTTTTCTCAGCATCTTATGCCAGCAGTGGAAGAGCCTCTGTGATGCGGGTGGTTCCTGATAATGATTTCGACCCGCTAGAAGCCGAGATAGAGGCATCGAAAGCTGGTAAGTCGACAGTCACCATTCGCTGGCTATTCTTCGATCAGGTGCGGCTAGGGTCGGTTCTTCTGAAGGGCAGTACTTGAGGGAACTGGAAGATACCAAGGCGGCGGAGACAGCTCACTATGCGGCTGTCCTTGATCGGGTAGGGTGGACCGGAAGACCGGAGTTAGCTGTGCTGAAGTGCTGGTTGACGCAGCTTAGCCGTTTCGAGCGAGAATTGGAGTCGACCCGACGGGATATGAGAAGGATAGCCGAGGTTGTTGAGGGGATAGCTGAGAGCCTGAGGGTAAGCAACAGCTGTGAGTGGCACTTGCTGTAGAGGCTGCGAAATGATGGGCGCAGTCGGGGGCGTTTGGGGTTAACGCCGTTTGGGGAAGGTCTTGCTAGTACTACCTATCTCCGTGTTGGGGAACTAAATACAGTAGTTGAGTAATGTAGTCTTCAGAGATGGCAGTTTTGATACACGAAATCGGGCCGCTTAGGCTCAGTACTGTCCACTCTATGTGAAGACCCTCGCGCTTGAATCCTGTTTCGTCTTTAGGGAAGAGACCACCGCGGGGGCGCCGTCCATACTGACGATCCTATCAACGTCGAGGATGCCATATTCCAGCAGCGAGTGGGATACCTTCCCTATGGAAGGTAGTGTTCGACTTGCCATTGCTCAGGTTTGACGACCCGGCTTCCCAGCGCTACTCTTTCTAAGTCATCGACGTGCATGCTACCTCTTGTCACTATTACTTTGACTATCGTCTTGTCGACATTTTTTGTCTTTGCCGAGGCCAGCTGTTGTCACTTTTATAGTGTTATTATTTTCGTCCATGCTCCCCGAAACCACTCCGGTGTTGCCGCCTTCCACCTCCCGGGCAAGTCTAACTCAGTACAACGCCCGTGGCTCTGTACTAGGTGCTGCTGTTCCATCAGCGCTGGCAGCGGAGCCTGCAATGGTAAGGGTGGCTTTGGTCGCTTGGGTGTGGTAGTAGTGCATATCTCAGCAAGTGATTACCGGGAGCGGTGACGACAGGCAGGCTCGAGGAGTGAGGTGTCACCATTACGTAGTGATCATTGTTCCTATTGTCAGTTTTCGGTTTACGCCCCGAAGGCTGTCAACGTCCCGCCGAGTCAGGGCGGTCCATCCGGGACGTTCTCGCTGCCGTCACCGCTCTTAATGCAGCATTTCTTGCCGCAGCCTCAAGCTACTGGGGGCATGTACAAAGTGCAGGTAACAGACATAGGAGCTCTCGAGACGAGAATAAGCCTTTCAGAGCTTTTCCACCACTCTTCAGCGGGCTTCCAGTTCAACCGCGGCGTTGCTAGCTGGAGGGGTCTCTACTGAGGGAAGCACTCAAGGTAACGGTAGTGTATAGACTGGTCCGCGACGTGATTGCTGTTGTTCAGGTCTTCACACTTACGCTCAGAGGCTGCAGACCCCAGAGGACACCCCTAGATTGTCCATCACATCGCTTCCAATGCAAGGTGTCTAGGCACTAGTCTGGGGGGCACTGCATTCTATAGAGGTCGTTTTGTCAGGTATGAACTCCCTGTCGGACCTGCTGCTTTGCACTGCTCGAGGACCACCTGCTCCCAGCTTGGCGGGACCACCGCCTCCGGCAACATCTACTGTCGTGGCGAGAGGGGGAGGGCCTTCAATGTCGTACCCGGTAGGGCCCTCTCCGATTAGTCATTTAGCGTATCTGCTCCTGTTCAGGTGAGGCGACTAAGTACGGAGCAGCTGGAAGCGGCAAGAGGCGATCCCAGGGTGGCATCGTTGAGTTGCCATCCTTGTCGTGTATAGGCTTGTTGTGCTCTAGGTAGCGCTAGTGGCGCGTAGAGCTCAGAAAGCTGCAGGAAGGGAAGGAGCGCCTGTGCTCCAGGGGGAACCGATTGAGGCCTGCAGTAAGGTGCTCGACACTGCGTCTGCAAGCAACAACTACAATGCTAAGGAAGTGGCTAGGGTCATGGTGAGTGTATATTGAGAGCTTTTGGATTCTGAAAACGACTTGAGAATTTTCTTGAAAATGAAATTCGACGAGATCGGTTTTTTCCTGGCAGGAGGAGAATGCTAGTTTGAGGCGGAGAGTGAGCACGCTGGAGAGAAAGTTGGCGGACCTGCAAGCTGAGCTCGAGGTTAAGGATCATCTATTGGAAACAGCAAAGATCAACACAAATGATGGACATCAGACGGAGCGAAACACACCGAATTCAGCAAAATTGTCCAACAGCTCCAAGCAGTGTAGGACAGCAGGGCCGGTCTGTCCCCTTCATTTTCTCGCGCGCCCGGCTGTTAGCTGCCATGGGCTTGGAATTGATGGCAAGCCGTTTGGTGGCACTCATGCGTGGAGGCATCGCCAACTTGTTGTATCCTCCTTAGAACCCATTGAGAAGGTTCTCGTGAAGAATGGAAGCCAAGTTGTCTCCTGTGGTCGGAGTTAGTCCTCTAGCATGTCTGGACATGGTGAAGGAAGTCGTTGTCCTGTGGCAAGCGTGTATGTGTCTGCTCATGCTTCGAGTTGGCAGTTTGTCAATACATCGATGGTGACAGCAGTGTTGGAGTATATGTTCGCTTTACTCAGCTGAGCTCAGGAGTTTTATTCCTAATTGTAGGAGTTTATATACGAATTTGAGTGTAAATGTACAGAAACCAATAGGAATTTTCCCACAATTTCCACCAACTAGTGCACATACTATGTGCCACATAGTTGCACATGTGGGTATTTTCCCATTCGTTGTGTCCTCAAGTAGGACAGTAGTGGCGTAACGACATTATTGTCTTCGTTTTCTCATGCAACGAGAATTGCTGCGAGCCCTGTGGCTTCGTATCACAACAAATCATACCATACGTGGACGTATGGTCAGCTCGGGCCGTTGGTTGTCGAATTTGATATTGTGCACCGTAGTTGGACGATTCTGTCGTAGTCGACGACTTCGTTCAGTCCTAGGCTCCACCGGATTCTGGAGCTCCAATATTCCCTATTATACTCTCTTATTGCTATTGGTGATCGTTAGCCCAAAGCCCTCGACGAAGTCTGAAATGAACGGCATTCAACTTTACTCGCTTGCTGGTTCACCCCGAACACTCCACCATAGTATTGTTGAATGTCTATTGTCCAATAACATACATGGAACAACTTCGTTTTCTAATCTCGAACAGAAGCAGAATATTTCGTGTACGTTACGGAGCTCGTTGATTTGATATCATCCAGTTGGTCCTTCTTGCTATGGTCCAGGAGATCACTTCGTTTGTCGGCATGGAGGACGTCACCACCGACTTGGTAAGCTGTAGAGGCTACATGGACACTTGAGGCTGCGGGCGTCAGTCGCGTTTCTGTAGATCCTTCAAGTCCTCAAGGCAACCATCAAGACTGATGATGAGTATGATGCTAAAAAGGCGCAGGAATGGGCAGATCAGATAGGGCTCAAAATAGTGTCCAAGCTGAAAGTAGGCATCAGGCCGCACTCTGCCGTAGTCGACCCAAGAACAGTGTTGGAATATGTGATCGCTTTCCTCAGCTAAGCTCAGGCGTTGGCTCACTAATTATAGAAGTTTACATACGAATTCGGTAGATATGTACAGGAATCAATGAGAATCTCTGAAAAATCCCTCAAGGTTTTATATTGTCCTCAACACATGTAGTTGACCGTGTGCATATTTTACCATGCTGCCCTAGAATGGCGCATGGCCCATTCGGACGATAAAGTAGCTCTGGTCACAATTGCTGATGGGCGTTGTTGTCCGTACAAATGCGCTTTCAGGAAGCGAGCGACAACTTCAAGTACGTAGTGTCTGTTACAATTCAAGAGAAAGGTGCGGGGTAGGTCCCACTTACGGTGGTGGTGGACGACGCTGTATTATCTAAATCAGATTGCACCACTCGGCGACGTGCCACTGGGACTCCTCAGCTGATGGCTCCGTCACAGTAGGCCATAGCTTCCTCTGGTATTTAATAGAAATAGAACTAATAGTATATAAACAAAAATAAATAAATAGGTTAACGTATAAGAATACACCCATGGTTATAGAATATAATCTCGATATTAATTAATGTATTTATACACATAGTGGGCTCACTGATAGGTACGCTGGGACCAATCCTTGAACATGGACGTGGTCATCACTGTATTCGCATTAGCTCTCTAGACACAGTGAAACTGTTGTGTTGCTGATAGTCGGGAACGGCCACTGAGATCCTCCGATGGTAAAAGACTGAGAAGACATGCATGACCCGAAGCATGAGAGAACAAACCGCCTATGCTAACCGTTCACGAGTCATCTATCGATCGCATACACTTTGCATGTTGCATCCGGAAGCTACAGTGTGGAAGCAATCTCTCATGCGGTTCTCTTCCAACTCGCTTATCTACAGGCCAGCACGATGGGTACGTCGCCAATGATTCTGATTCTGAAGTTCCAATACGATCTCTTTCAGAAACTACATCCGTAAATTGAACTTCGAATTGATGAGCTCCTGGAGCGGACATCGACGTCAACTGTTTATATAGATAGACGCTGCAGTTGCGTTACAAAGGTTCTCACGCGTATAGGATGTTCACTCAGCAGAATTGTCTATTTTCTTCCGGACGCTGGGGCGCAGTCCTTGACAACTACGTAGTAAATCATAGCTAGTCTAACAGTTAAGTCCACTGAAGAGAATCGAACTTGATTGACGGTTTGCTAGACTGAGGACGAGATCGATTAAAGGCTGTTGCGTCCCCCTATTCTGATGGTCAGGAGAGGTTTTGGAGGTGCTGACGACCGTCGAGCTGCTTATGATGACACTAGAGTCAATAAAAGGGGGCACAGCGTCGATATTAATATGGCAAACTTAATAGAGTTGTCTATACCATCTTTTATACAACTCATTGGTTACACGTTAGGTCTCCCCCACGCTAATGGTCAACAGATCAGGCGTCGATTCTCGTTAGTAACGTGAATGCTACGGCTTGCTGTTGATATTGAGGAATTGCTAGTGGATGCAAGATTGCAAGATTACTGATAATGTGTCTGTTCATTGCTCGGGGTAGTCAGTCGTGGGTAGGGTTGAAGTCAACATTAGAGTTACAATTTCGCTTCACATTGATCTATGCGACGACATCCCCTGCGATCTCCTAATACGCCTCGGAAAAATTCCAATCAAACAAGCGGAGCGACGCAGACATCCAAAAGAGGTCCCTGTGGTGGCAAGGGAGGGCGTATGGCCAAGGTGGCAGGAGAAGAACATTCCGAGTCGAGCTCCATCGAGTGGACAACTGAATTGGAATCGTCGCTGTCATCCTCCTCCTCGGCGTGCGACTCCTACTATGTTAGGGAGGTTTGGGCGAATGACGTTGAACATGAGTTGCGAGTGATGGAGAAGTTGGTGGAGGAGTACCCCTATATAGCAGTAGATGGATGCTTCCCGGGGGTGGTGGCAAGGCCCACTGGTAATGGCATTAAAGGGCACGTGACGGTAGCGGCTGTTGTTTATGCTTAGGTCCGTTCAAAAATGATACGGAGAGAAATTATGAGATTATCAGAACTAATATGAGCCTCGTAAAAATACTACAACTAAGTCTGGCATTTTCTAATAAGAACGGCGAAGTGGCTGGGCATCCTGGAGACGTTCGAAGGGCGAATGGAAGTGACCGGCCGCCCCCAGCTTGTGTGTGGAAAATCAATTTTCACTTCGACGTTCGGAAGGATATTTATTGCGCCGAGACGTTGAAGCTGCTGAGGGAACCTACAAAGAAGGGAGGTGCCGGCATTGACTTGAAGGCGCATCTGAAGCGGGGCGTGAGCGTGGAGAGATTCTCGGAGCTTATCACGGGAAGCGGCCTGGTGTTGTCGCCTGATGTGACGTGGATAACTGCGAGTGGTGGTTTCCTATTCGCCGGGTTGGTGAAAATGCTGTCCGGCCAGGCTCTACCGAAGGCTGAAGTGGAGTTCTCGGAGATGTGTTATGAGTACTTCCCTCACATCTGGGATATGAGGCTAATCAGGAGAGGTTCGTCGAGGTGTGGTATGGGTATGTCTCGTGGAGGAGGGGCTCCGCACGCATGCGCATCATCGGAGAAGGCTAATTTGGAGGTTGAAACGCCGTCCACTTTAACACTTCTTGAGAACTTCTTCCGATATGATGGCAGAAGTGGTAGAATGATGAGTTCCTCTTCCGACGACTCTTCCGAGCCGCCTCCAGCAGTGCTCCCTTTTTCTGCTATGCAGAGGAGGGCGACTACGACGAAGTGGTGGCTAGCGAGTGGTGGTGGCGGCAAGGAGATAAGGAGGAAATCTCAATTTGGTTTAGAGGAGTTCTCTGCGTTGAATTTAGAGAGTCCTGCATCGGTGTGGCAAGATAAAGGAGAGGAGGTAATTTCGTGGCGCGTGAAGCTGAGGACGGAAGTGGAGGCAGAATATGAGGAGGCGACCAGTGAGAACAAAGAAGGTTCTGCTGATGCCATCACGACACCCGCTATGAAGAAGGAACAGCCGAATGGAGTTGTCCAAACGCCGCCTCCACCACCCCCTGGCCGTCCACCTCCTCTAGATGCTCGTTCGACTTCGGGCTCTAACGCGTCACCGGTTGATCGTGGAGAGGAGGAAGGGCCGCCTCGCTATAAGCATCCACTTCGGCACCCCAAGTATCCGAATGGGGCCCCTCCTCCTATGTGTGGGGTTATTAGTTATAAAGGGCCGCCGCCGCCACCCATTGGTACACGCAAGTGGTTACCGGCGCCTCTGAAGAGAGGGCAACCGTTTATGCATTGGGGATGCGTACAGCTACCAGATGTGGCGTCAAGTCACTATCGTCGGCGTAGGGAGAGACCCATGGGGATCTCAGGGGGAGGGAAGGATGTTGGGATAGGAGGTCACCGTCGGGGAGTGCGGAGCTGATTCCGTATGTATTTTGTTGTATGTAACATTGGGATGGTGACACTGCTGGTGTCACCATCATGTTGGTATTTTGGTATTCGGAGGGACGGGAGGAATGTAGCGAATAGTGATGGGTGAAGATACGAAGGAGGTCCGCATTGCTGGCCTCGTTGGTATCGATTCTGGTTGCCTTATGCTACGAGATACATTTCGAGTGTCTCCTCCAGAGGGTAGGTGTTGAGTTTGAGTATTGTTGTTGTTGTCGAAGGAAGGAAGCTCCTGGCCGATCGAAGGAGGGGAAGTTTGATAGTTGACTGGAGGGTTTCAGTGAGCGAGATGTGGTGGAAAGATGGTATGGTAAACGGCAGAAAAATCGGTAATGGCATTATTAGAAATTACTAAGAGGTCACCATATAGCACCGCACTTGGTGTATCGCAGGGAGGGGACGGGTGCATGCCTGTGGTACTCGAAGTGATGAAAAATACGTGCATGGTCAACTGCGTGTGTTGATGACAATATGGAAATTATGAGGAGTATTTCTTGCGGATTCCCTGCTCAACGTCTTCGGCAGTAGTCAATCGAGATGATCTGTGAGATGTTATGTTCTGTAATCGGGCAGTAGTTGAGCATTATGTCTCTTTAGCTGAGTCACTCTGTATACACCACTGTGAGCTTAGCATTCTCACTCATCTATTTAGAGTAACTGAGAATGGTTATCATTGCACTCTTGAAGTTATTTGTGCCTAGTTGGGACAGAGATGTGCACGCGTGCACTATAAGCAGAGCAGCACGCATGCTCACTCGGGGCCTATGCTTAGACTAGCCGTGAGGGAGAGAGTTTGGCAAAAAACTATTTGGACCCTCCCATCCCATTCCATTGGAAAAATAGGGGGAAGATGCAGAAGAACATTGTTTGTAATTTCTAGGTGTCTGCAAGTCGTGGGTGAATCTCCAAGATGTAACGAGGCAGCTGTTGAGATGAACTGAGGAAAGCAAAGATATATATTAGCACTGGTGATGGTATGTGCTGAGAATAGTGGTTTTTGTTTCACAATGTTGAGTTGTTCACTGGTGACCATAAAGTGTGCTTGGAGTGGTATGGTGTACAACGACTATGTGAAGTTGACATTCCTAATGACTGCTCCTAGAGGGAAGGCTCGGGCAGTGGAGGGGGAAGGAGGAGGTTCTTCTGGCGGGTTGAGGCGGAGCGAAGCTGGGTCAATGGTTTTTGTACTGCCGTTGAGGAATAGAGTGCTGTTCCCGGGACTGAGAGCACAGGCATTGGTAGTAGTGGGGAAGGGTAGTATAAGGCAGGATGTGACGGAAATGTGGTAGGTACATAAATCGGTTTTTGAGGCCTTTGTAGCCCATCAGAAAACAGTATCGTTGGAAGATTCTCTGAGCCACGACAAGCTCGTCACTGTTGGTGTTAGAAACAGCGATAGGGAGGGTTCCAAAGGAGAGGAGAAGCTGTAGGCCCCAGTGTTGGAATGTATATACGCTGACGTTCCTCAGCTGACCTCGGGAGTTTCC